TCCGAGCCCCCGATGGGGAGGACTGGGGTGACTCTGCGTCTCCTCGGGGTGGAAGCTCTCCTGCAGCCCCCCGATTGACCGCCCCCCGGATGGCAGCCTGTGGCAAGTGCAGCTGGGCTGATGGCCGAGTGCTGTGATGTGCTGAGTGTGGGCATTCAGGGCACTCCAAGCCAGGTCTGCTTTGCTGTCCCTCATCGAGTTAGACAAGCGAGCGGGGAAGCCCTGAGAACTGTCTGTCCGGGTGGGGGTCGGGTCCCTTTAAGCACAGCCCTCGGCTAGCCTGAGACAGCAGCTCCACACTCTAAGTCCTAATCTGATGCCCTGCCGGCACTGCTTCCAGCCAGCCTTAACCTCGGTTCAGGGTCCACTCAATGTGGACATGTTAGTTCGAATTAGCTTAGTTCGAATTAACTAATTCGAATTAAGTTACTTTGAATTAGTGCTGTAGTGTAGATATACCCGTAAGGACTTGTCAACTGGCCAATAAGCAAATGCTTATCAGATAGTTGACTAGTTGTTTTCCCCCCCCCTTGCTGTCCCCATCTGGTCCCAGGCTCTGTGTGGCACTGCCACTTTGAAATGACGAGCGGAGCCTGGGATCAGCTGACTCCAGACTTCGCGACATTTCCACGGAACCTGGGACTTTCCAGTTGGCCCTGGGCTCCAGCACGGCATTTCACAGCTGACCCTGGGTTTCTCGGAAATGTCATGCAGAGCCTGGGATCAGCTGGCGAGTCCCCCACTGACTCTGGTTCTGTGTGGCATTTCAAAGCGGCAGTGCCACATGGAGCCGGGATCAGCAGGGGACTCTGAGTCCCTGCTGACCCCGGGCTCCATGTGGGCGCTTCTGCTTTGAAATGCACAAGAGCCCCCACTGGTGCTCTTGTACATTTCAAAGGAGGAGTAGTAGATATAATTTCCATTGACTACTCAACTAGTAAATTAATCGTTATTTAACATCCTTCGTTCCATCCAGACCATCTGCTTGCGTCTTTCAGTGCTCACCCTGCCTCGGAGACGCCTCACCATTGTGGAGTGTGTTCCCAGTAGAGGCCATGTTCAAAGGATCCCAATTGCAGGCCAAATGTTGAGCCTCGTGTAAACCCAAACCGCACCGGGGGCTGCAAACAAGTGGTCCGTGGGCCGCATGTGGCCTGCGGACCATGTGTTAAGTAGCCCTGCTGTAGACACAATTATCATCATTACAGAGTGAACTGTGCTTTATATCCATTAGTCCATTGCAAGTGTGCTCCTTTAGGGATTAGGCCTTACTATGTTCAGTCCTCTCCAGATGGAACTAAACTGTTTCACTTTTTCAGGACTAGCTCTATGGGTGGCGATCCACCTGTTTTCCAACAGTGTTAACACTATAGAATGAACAGAGTTTATCAACTGTCATGCATCTGATATTAACTTTTTGTGTGATATGATTCTAACTGAATGCATAAAATTAAAAGAAGCTCCAAGGGGTAAACCAACAGGAAACAAAATAATGGCAAAACATGACACCTGTGAGAGCAGCTGATTTAAAGCAAATAAAAAAATGACTTTTTCAAGCAAAATATTATTCGGTCACGCATCCAAAGGTACAAAACACATAGAACAAAAGAGTAAAACCAGTAAAGGGCTATGCACATATTTTCCTTTGCTAGCCTTATTAATTCTTTACAAGCGTGGGTATATTTCATCCATCTTCTGGCAAGGGGGAGACAGACTGCCTTGCCAGAATGTGCGTGTGTATTTACATTTCTTCCTTTTCCCACCACCTGTGCCTTTTAGCTCTTACTTGATACTCTCTGAGTAGTCCCCAGCAACTCATTCAACCCCACCCATTTCTAGGGTTGGGTTCTTCTAAATGGTTTAATATCCTCCTTTGATCCTAGGTTTAGCTTTGGGAAGAGAAAACCTTTGTAGCCTTGGCAGAGCTAGCTACCCTCTTCCCAGTTATAACTCAGCTATTGTTTTAACTCCTTTGAAACTATTCATTGTATATGCCATGTCTGTGACATGATTTTGTGTCTCCCTTTCAGATTCCTTTGATTTAACTCTGTGTTCAGTCAGATAATATCACACAAGATAATATCATACATCTAAACCGAAGTGCAACTGATATTTATAAAAAAGATATTTCCCAGTATTAAGCAAACTCAAAATAAAAATGTTCAGCCATTCTTGTTCTTCCTCATTTATAACTAAACTTACTCTCCTAAAGCAGTAAATGAGTGTAGTTTTGTTTAATTTCTAATCTTGCTGCATATGTAACATGTTTGATTTTGATTAACATGTAAACCCATGCTCAACTTAATTGAAGTCATTTGGGCCAGTGTTTCTCAACCAGTGATATGAGTACCCTTAGGGGCACTTGAGAGAAGTCTGGGGGATACGTCAACACAACTGAAATTTGGAGAAAACTGAAATTTGTTTTAAGTTTTACAGCCCTTTATTGTTTTTGTATTTTTTACGCTAAAAAATTTTATCACCCACCCAGCTACGATTAAGTTTTTTAAAGAAATGTGTTGCAATGGTAGAAAAAAAAGTGTCTGAAAACTATAGGTACTGGGATACTTATAATTTTTTTAAAAAGGGGGTACTTTATTAAAAAAAAAAAAAAAAGTTGAAAAACACTGATTTGGGCTATGCCCTGCTACAGCAAGTAGCTATCTTACATTTCAAATTTTTTATAATATAATTACATTATTAGTGTTAGGAAACCAATAACATGAACAGTTGATTTTACTTCAGCACAAATAATTTAATATGAAAAGTTCAAAAATATGATAGACATTCACTCTTTGTATTTGTTTCTTTTTATTGCTTTCCTGTGATATCTGATGTTTTGATGATCTTCTTTATGGCCATTCTCCAACATCCAGAAAACCACCAAAGGTAAGTGTTAGTCTTATTTTGTAAAGATATTGATTTTTAAAATGTTGAAAATTACAGAAATTCCAACTATGTTTTATTAGCATGTAATGTCAATGTTGTCAGTAAGGGAAAATCTAGGTTTTGGGGTTTTTTTTTAAACCTTCTCTTTTTTTTTAAAAAAAAAATCTCTGTTCAAATTAGAGATTTTTTCAAATCAAACTTACATTACATGTTAATTGGATTAAAATGTGCAGATTAAGGAGCACTGCTTCTTAAAACTATTCAACCAGGAGATGCAGTTATTTTAGCAAGTTTTGTAAAAATTCTTTTGTAGGTGGAAATAATTATTGCAGGCACAATACATTATTATAGGATGGACTCCCTGGTCCAGTACCCTGAGGACCTAACTGGTCCTGGATGAGGGGTTTTGCCAGACTTATTTCTGACCGTTTTTCGCCCTCAGATCCCCAGCCATGGCTTCGCTGCCAGTCTCCCAGCTAGTTTCCCCCTGCTCCTGGCCCTTCATTGCAGGGCTCCCATTCCCACCGTGGCAGCAAGAACTGCCCTGCTGCCAGACTCGTGAAGCAGCTCCCCTGCTGGATTCCAGGTCTGCCACCGGGCAGCAGCCCCTCTTAGGCTGTGTCCAGACTCCATGCCTCCGTCGACGGAGGCATGTAGATTAGCCAGCTCGGAAGAGGGAAATGAAGCCGCGATTAAAATAATCGCGGCTTCATTTAAATTTAAATGGCTGCCCCGATCTGCCGATCAGCTGTTTGTCGGCAGATCGGGGCAGCCATTTAAATTTAAATGAAGCCGCGATTATTTTAATCGCGGCTTCATTTCCCTCTTCCGAGCTGGCTAATCTACATGCCTCCGTCGACGGAGGCATGGAGTCTGGACACAGCCTTAGACTTTAGCCTTGTTCGGCAGCCCCGTTGCCTCCCAGCCTCAGTGGACAGTTCTGTCAGGTGGCAGTGATGCTGCCAGGCTCTTCGCTGTGCTGCCAGGCAGTTCCTCTCCCAGGTTCCTGGCCCCGCTGCAAGGCAGCCCCGCGGTTGGGCTCCTGGCCCCATGGTGAAACCGTGCTGCCTTCTAGTCCTGCCGCACAGCTGAGCCACTGGTCGTATGTGGGGATGCAGAGCTCCTGGCCCCACTTCAAGGCAACCCCACTGCTTCCTGGTTTTTCTGGGCAGTTTCACTGCCAGGCGGCAGCCCCACTCCTGGGCTCCAGCCTGCCGGGTAGCCCCACTGCCTCCCAGCCCCCTCGCACCCACGCTTGTAGTGTCGCCACAGGGCGGCATCCTTGCTGCTGGGCTCCCGGTTTTGCTGCCACAGGGCTGCCTTGCAACTGGGCTCCAGCCCTGCAGCAGGGTTCCCAGCCACCAGCCATCCATAAGCAAATGCTTATTGGATAGTCGACACACTAGTCGACTAGGTGCTTCCCTCTCTTTTCCCCCTTCTCCCCCTTCCACTGCCTCTATCAGAAAGAGGTAGCAAGGAGGGGGAAGAAGATGGAGTGCTTCAGAGTGGCAGTGCTGTGTGGAGCTCAGGGCCAGACCCGAGGCTCCATGCGGCGCTGACACTTTGAAATGCTGCGTGTAGCCAGGGTCAGCTGGGAGCCCCTAGCTGGCTCCGGGCTGCTTGCTGCATTTCAAAGAGGCAGTGCCACATGGAGCCCGTGGTCAGCTGAGGACTCAATGCTGACCCTGGGCTCCATGCGGCACTGCCGCTTGGAAACATCGCAGGGAGCACGGAGTCAGCAGGGGACTGCTTGAGTCCCCTGCTGGCGCCATGCTCCCCGCAGTTGGCCCGGGCTGTTGCTATACTTCAAAGGCAGAGGCACCCTTATTAACTAATCGAATAGTTGATGCAAATTGCATGGACTATTTGATTAGCCAGTTAATTGAAATGTTACATCTCTCAGTCCTGGAATATCCCTGGTCCTTCTGGACCAGGGATGTTGTTAGACTAGAGAGTCCTGTTCAGAGAAGTTCAACCTGTATACATAATACTGTTGAGGTTCTGGCACTGCTAGCTTTAGGAGGCCTGAGGTGATTACTCCTAGAGATTGTTCCAAAACTGAGGGCATAGCATCGATCCTGTGGATCCATGATACTATATCATTCAAAGGAAGATAAACATATATACATTTTCCTATTCTTCACGCTCAACTCCTCAGATCCACTGTAATGAGATTTTCATATAAGTATACCTTCGAAGTGGAAAGCAGGATCACTCTTAATTACACTATGACAATTGTGAAGACTGCCTGTCTTAATTAAAATTACAAATCTTGTCTCCATGCACATGATCAGTTTCAAATAGAACACTTATCTGACTGGAGATAGAAGCCTTCAGGAGGTCTACATAGGTGATCAGAAATGTAATGAAATTCTCTGCAGGGCTTCACTTGGGGCAGTGGTGAAAGAAGGGAGTTCTAAGGTCACATTCTATGATCTTGCAGGGTTGAAATAAGGTTGATGCTCTAAGGAAGCACTTAATGTTGAGATTTGTTCAAAAGCTTCCTTTTATTGAACATGCTGAGAACATTCTACTACTGCATTGTCTTGGAGTTAGGCTCCAAAGAGGGGTTTATCTCCTTCTTAAGGGGAATTTTCTTTTGTTTTGCTTTTTTGTTCTTGTTAGGAAGGAGTGATAAATAGGATATTAATCCCTCAAATGATTTTTCCAGGGACTGATACTGACCACCCACCAGTGTCACTTCCACGCTACTAAGGCAATTGCGAGCAGTCAAACAGACTGTAATTTACTTACTCAGTATCTAAGTTGGCAGTTGGTTTCAGTCCCTGGAAAATTTATGGAGGGGATCCTTAAGGAATCTATTTTGAAGCACTTGGAGGAGAGGAAAGTGATCAGGAACAGTCAACATAGATCTATCCAGGGCAAGTCATACCTGACCAACCTGATTGCCTTCTGTGACAAGGTAACTGGTTCTGTGGACACGGGCAAGGTAGTGGACATGATCAGGGCTCGACAAATTGCTATATCTAAACGCCTGTGGCAAATAGATTTCAGCCGGTCGCCCCGTTCACCGGCACTGTGCGAATGCACAGTGCTAGTCTGGCACATACGCGGTGTGGGTCTGATGAGTAGATCTCACCACGGTTCGTCGAGCTCTGGACATGATACATCTTGACTTTAGCTAAGTTTTTAATACGGTCTCCCACAGTACTCTTGCCAGCAAGTGAAGGAAGTATGGATGGGATAAATGGACTTCAAGGTGGATAGAAAGCTGCCTAGATTGTCCGGCTCAATGAGTAGTGATCAAAAGCTCAGTGACTGGTTGATAGTCAATATCCAGTGTGGTGCCCCTAGGGACGGTTTTGTTCAGCATCTTTATTAATGACCTGGATGAGAGGATGGATTGCATCCTCAGCATGTTTGCAGATGACCGTAAGCTAGGGGGAGAGGTAGATATGTTGGAGTGTAGGAATAGGGTCCAGAATGACCTAGACAAATTGGAGGATTGAGCCAAAAGAAATCTGATGAGGTTCAACAAGGACAAGTGCAGAATCCTGCACTTAGGCCAGAAGAATCCCAATCACTGCTACAGGCTGGGAACTGACTGGCTAAGCAGCAGTTTGGCAGAAAAGGACCTGGGAATTATAGTGGATGAGAAGCTGGATATGAGTCAGTGCGCCCCTGTAGCCAAGAAGGTTAATGGAAGATTAGGGTGCATTAGGAGGAGCATTTCCAGCAGATCTAGAGAAGTGATTGTTCCCCTTTATTCGGCACTGGTGAGGCCACATCTGGAGTATTGTGTCGAATTCTGGGACTCCCATTACAGAAAGGATGCAGATGCACTGGAGAAAGTCCAGTGGAAGGCAACAAAAATGATTAGGGTCTGGAGCACATGACCTACGAGGAGAGGCTGAAGAATTTGGGCTGCTTTAGTCTTCAGAAGAGAAGAGTAAGGGGGAATTTGAAAGCAGTTTTAACTACCTGAAGGGAAGTTCCAAAGAGGATTGAAAGAGGCTGTTCTCAGTAGTGACAGATGGCAGAATGAGGAGCAATAGCCTCAAGTTGCAGTGGAGGAGATCTAGTTTGAATATTAGGAAAAACTATTTTACTAGGAGGGTGGTGAAGCACTGGAATCTCCATCTCTAGAGGTTTTAAAATCCTGGTTTGACACAGCCCTGGCTGAAATGGTTTAGTTAGACCTCCTGAGGTCTCTTCCAACCCTATGCGTCTATGAAATGCAATCAACTGTAAAGTGACTAATTCTTTAAAATGTCAGCCAGTGAAAATTGACAAGGGATCTACCGAACTACTGAAGCCCGAAGTGGCAAATATTTTACATGTTATGGTATTAAAGCAACTCATGGACAGTTTTTTTTTCTTTGAAAGATCAGAATACACAGTTTTCAAATGAATGACTACGTACAGGTCAACTTGTAAATAAAAATTCTCACTTGTGGAAAAAAAATGTATACAGTTTAGCAGTCATCGTAATTTTGTTTCTTAAAGTGAGCTGGTGCTCCTATTTTAAACTATCAAACACTTATTAGCCAGAAAAAAAATATGCAAGATAAGTGGGTCATTGATTTCCAAGAGCAATTCTCTTTTGATAATACAAACCTCACCATGTGGTAGATGTTACATAGGCACATATTGTCTGATTCTACCAGGAGTTGGGCTTTATCATGCATAACAGTTTCTTCCTGGTAGGATTTCTGTTTTTTCCTTTGGCTGTTGGAAGGGGAGAAGGAATTATTTTCTTCCACTTTGTTCCCAGCACATGAATGTTGGGCATGGGACTCCAGTTTCCTGGTTGCCTGTCTAATGAGAGAAGTGTTGTCCTTATTGCTGCTACCTCTTCTCCAGCCTCATTTTATAGGTCATCCTCCCCATGAATAATTGCAGCTCTTCTGTTGCTATTAATAGTTTTTTCCATGCAATGATATAGTGAGACTAATGTAGTTATCAGTTTCTCTGATGCTGAAAGGATTCTGAACAGCAGCAGTGAAACAGACCAGATTTAAGATTCACTTAGATGCTTAACAAAGCAGAGGCACAAGAGCTTCAGTATATGCAGGGATACAATATTTTGCATTTTTGTGTGTGTATTGAAATATTTTTGTCAAGGCTGTTCCCCACTCTGGCATGACGAATGCAGAAGTGGGAACCCTGCAAGAACACTCCAAAACCTACAGGCTCTGGTACAAACCTTCAAGTTCAGAGCTTACATCAGCATTGAATAAACTCCTATCATGTGGTGGTGGATGTATGTATTATCTTACATAAGAACATAAGAATGGCTGTACTGGGTCAGACCAACGGTCCATCTAGCCCAATAGCCTGTCTGCCGACAATGGCCAACACCAGGTGTCCCAGACGGGGTGGACCGAAAACAATGATCAAGCAATTTGTCTTGTGCCATCCATCTCCAGCCTCTGACAAACAGAGACCAAGGACACCATTCCTACCCCCTGGCTAATAGCCTTTTATGGACCTAACCTCCATGAATTTATCTAGCTTCTCTTTAAACTCTGTTATAGTTCTAGCCTTCACAGCCTTCTCTGGCAAGGAGTTCCACAGGTTGACTGTGCTGTGTGAAAAAGAACTTTCGCTTATTAGTTTTAAACCTGCTACCCATTAATTTCATTTGGTGTCCTCTAGTCCTTATATTATGGGAACTAATGAATAACTTTTCTTTATTCACCCTCTCCACACCACTCATGATTTTATATACCTCTATCATATCCCCCCTCAGTCTCCTCTTTTCCAAACCGAAAAGTCCCAGTCGCTTTAGCCTCTCCTCCTATGGGACCTGTTCCAAACCCTTGATCATTTTAGTTGCTCTTTTCTGAACCCTTTCCAAGGCCAAAATATCTTTTTAGGTGAGAAGACCACATCTGTACACAGTACTCATGATGTGGGCGTACCATAGTTTTTATACTGGGGCAGTAAGAGATTCTGTGTCTTATTTTCTATCCCTTTCTTAATAATTCCTAACATTCTATTTGCATTTTTGACCGCCACAGCACACTGTGTGGACGTTTTCAGAGAACTATCCACGATAACTCCAAGATCTCTTTCCTGATTTGTTGTAGCCAAATTAGCCCCCATCATACTATATGTATAGTCGGGGTTATTTTTTTCCAATGTGCATTACTTTACACTTTCCACATTAAACTTCATTTGCTATTTTGTTGCCCAATCACTAAGTCTGGTGAGAATTTTTTGAAGTTCTTCACAGTCTGTCTTAACTATCTTGAACAGTTTAGTATCATCCGCAAACTTTACTACCTCACTGCTTGCGCCTTTCTCTAGATCATTTATGAATAAGTTGTATAGGATTGGTCCTAGGACTGGCCCTTGGGGGACACCACTAGTTACCCCTCTCCATTCTGAAAATTTACCATTTATTCCTACCCTTTGTTTCCTGTCTTTTAACCAGTTCTCAATCTATGAAAGGACCTTCCCTCTTATCCCATGACAATATAATTTACACAAGAGCCTTTGGTGAGGGACTTTGTCAAAGGCTTTCTGAAAATCTAAGTATACTATATCTACTGGATCCCCCTTGTCCACATGTTTGTGAACCCCTTCAAAGAACTCTAATAGATTAGTAAGACATGATTTCCCTTTACAGAAACCATGTTGACTTTTGCCCAACAAATTATGTTCTTCTACGTGCCTGACAATTTTATTCTTAACTATTGTTTCGACTAATTTGCCTGATACCGATGTTAGACTTACCGGTCTGTAATTGTCGGGATCATCTCTAGATCCCTTTTTAAGTGACCTATTCAGTGTTAGGGTTGTAAGCGACTAATCAACTATTGGATTGTTGACTAGTCGCTTCCCTCCTTTTCTGCCTCTATCAGAAAGAGGGGCCAATGCTGAATAGAGTTGTTAAATTTCAATTAATTAACTAATCAAATAGTCTATGGGATTACCATATATATGTACATTTCAAAATGGAAGCACCTCCTGGAGCCAGTAGGGAGTCTGAGTCTCCTGCTGGCCCCAGGCTCCATGAGGTCCATGGGGCCAATGCTGAATAGAGATGTTAAATTTCAATTAATTAACTAATCTAATAGTCAATGGGATTACCATAGACTATTTGATTAGACGATAAGGACTAGCACGGTGTTCCACTTTTGAAATGTACGAGAACTCCAGAAGGGACTCTTGTGCATTTCAAAGAGTGAAATGCTGTGTGGAGCCTCAGGCCAGTGGAGGGCTCTCTGCTGTCCCCAGGCTCCACGTGGCGTTTCACTCTTTGAAGTGCACAAGAGCCCCTGCTAGGGCTCTTGTACATTTCAAAAGTAGAACACCGTGCTAGTCCTTATCGTCTAATCAGATAGTCTATGGTAATCCCATTGACTATTTGATTAGTTAATTAATTGAAATTTAACATCTCTGTTCAGCATTGGCCCCATTGAATTGAGTGCTGTACTGTCAAAGATCAATAGACTAGAATGTTTCTTTGTTTCAAAGTCACATATAACTGAACATGAGGGGTGAATGCCCAGATCCCTTACGTAGCTTTAATAATATATTTCTAAATGTCTGAATTTTAGTAGATTTCATATAATATAGTTATTTGTTTCTAGTCTGTGTCTACCATAGTGGGCTCTAACTAGAATATTGAAAAGGGTGTGTGTTATTTTTATATTCTACCTAAAAAAATCCCTTAAAAAGAATATTAGGGTTGTTAAGACAATTAGGCAAAAGTTAGAGGATGTTGGAATCAAGGTCACCTGTGAACATTGTTCCTTGTAAACTGTGTGCACGTGCAGCCACTCAGGAGAGATTCAAATTAGGAATGTGAATGGTTAATTGGTGGGCCTGGGGAGTATCTCCAAGCCTCAGTGGCCGCATTTAGCCCTTGGGTCTTAGGTTCCCCACTCCTGAGTTATATGCAACTTAAAACAGTCTTATAATAGGAAGTATGGGGCAACCTAAATAATGGTGCTACCAGCTCTCTCTCTAATCATATCCTGTACTACAACCTCCCATGTTATGAACAGATTTCATAGAATAATTCTGGGAAAACTGTTCAGTATAGGAAGAACAATGTAGATTTCACATTTTTGCATTGTTTTACTTATGTATTATGGCAACTTCAAAAATTTTCTTTTAAAACATTTGACTATCAGTAATGTATGCAATCAGATTTCAAGACTATTGAACTCCTGATGGAGCTTGTTCCAAATCTGTGATAGGTTCCGTGGAAATAGCGTTGTACATCTGTCGTCCAAACTAGGGTTGCCGGGTGTCCGGTTTTGAACCAGACAGTCCAGTATTTGAGTTTTCTGTTTGGGAAACAATTTGAGAAAATATAAATGAGAAAATATGAATGTCTGGTATTTTCTAAATAAGATGTAATGTCGATTGTGATGTAATATCAAGCGTGTCTGGTATTTTTGTTGAAACCATCTGGCAACCCTAGTTCAAACAGGTATGTGTTGTAGTGTTTCAGGGATGGATGCTCTTGTGTTTTGGAAGTTCTTCATTTGCCTTTTCTATTCTTTTGCAGGTGTTTGCCTTTGATTACTGCTTTTGGTCAATGGATGAATCAAACACCACAAAGTATGCAGGTAAGTCACTGATTTTTCACCATATTTGGCAGTGCATAAATGCTTTGAAAAAAGATAATTTTCTGGTTTTTTGGGCTGATCTCCTGACCTTTTTCTCACTAAAACTGACCTCTAGCCTTTCAGTGGGCTAGGGCCACCAGAGAGGAGTGTTCTCTGCTCACAAAGAATACAAAATATATGAGGCCCACTCTAATGTTAGGAAAAGAAGCTTTTTAAACCTATAAGCTTTAATGTTTTTATTCCTATTTTCACTCCCATATAGTCTCATTTGAAAAATGTTTTTTTTTTTCAATTAAGGTGATATTTCAATTCTCTAGCAGAAATTACTTCTGGGTCCTAACGTTAGTCATGAGACCATTTGTTTTCAGTGCCCCACATAGAATTTGAGGCAGAGCCCCCTCTCTCCTGCAGAGAGAAAAACCTCTCTTCATCAAAACATTTAACCATCGTCACTCAAAACCTAGTGAGCAGATGACAAGCCAAATTTCCAACTTGTACCCTTCTCTACTGTCTTGATATTCTGTGTCAGACTGCCAGGCCAGTCACCACTGCCTCTTCTCATACAATTCCTTATTTATTACCATAGACTTAATACCTAGAAAAGAATCCATTTTGACTGAATACGTATTATTTATATTTTTAAGATACAGTGGCTTTAGGGAATGGATTAATGACATGGACTAGCTTTAGCAGTGTCTTACAGAATGTGCCTCTTAATATTGCTGACCATAGTTCTAAATCCAAGAGGTTATGATCAATTCAGTGGTTTCTGTTGTGTTACTTAAATGTTATTTAGATGAGGCTTTTCTACGTAGCAAATTTCTCTCAGTGAAGTTAAGTGTGAGTATTTTCATTGACTTCAGTAGGACCAAGGAGACAGCCTGGAATCAAATGAGCAACTAAATTTAAACCAATATGTTGTCTTAGCCCAACCCCACATCAACTGAATTTAATGCGAGTTGCCTAAAACCTATCCCTCTGATGCTTACTGGGCCTCTGAGTTACACTCAAGTTCTATTGACGTTTTTAGTTTGAGAATTGTAGTTATACATAACCTTAGTTTGTTTGATCAGTCTGTAGAATGATGACACATCTTTTGATCCCTCTCTTCAGCAAAATATCCATCCAGCCAGTCAACCCAAGGGCCTTTTTCAAGATTTTCTTGAAAAAGATGCTTTTACTATCCCTTATCAGCTAACATGATTTTGTACATTGCTGGAGTTATCTTGTGATTGTCTTAACTTGATTAATCAATTGGTGTGCACAGAACAAAACGATATTTGAGGGGAGGATAAAGATTTTATTTTATCTGCTCTAACAAAGTGACTGGGCTTTTGGCTGGCTAAGTAATCTTGTATCAAGTGGCTCTCTTCCATGTCCTACAATAACATATCTTGTTTTAGTGCCAAGCAGCTGAGTACAGAAGTGATAAGAACTCTTAATTCCTTTCTTTTCAGTAGATTCCACATTTTTTCCTTTTTTGTATTGTCACTATTTAGTTGCTTTTGATGTATTCACAGTTTTGCCTAAAATAATCATCTTATTTGTTGTTTTGATTGCTGATTTATTGTTTGTTTTGTGGTAGTACCTAGGACTCCAGTCATGGGGCATGGTCTTCATTTTGCTAGGCACTATACAAAAGTGCATCTTGTCCAACACCAAAAATTGAACCAGGATTCAGAAAGCTAAAGACATGAATCGCTGCAGCTTGAGCTAAAGAGCCAGGCTCTCTGGAAGCTGCAACAGACTCTCATCCTGTGTGGAATGGCTATAAGAATGAGGGACACAAAGTCCACTAAGCAGAGAGTTATGAAAATTCATAATGCTGTCCCTGCCTCCAAAGAGCTTAAAATCACTACCTGCACAGTTGAAAGGTGAATCTAAAGCTTAGAAATCTCTAAATCCATAACATTAGAAAGTTTAAGTGAAGGTTGGACCCTCAGGTTAAGTAGAATTTTTAAAATTATATTTAATTTTAAGTAAAAGAAATTTACTCTCACAGAGGTTTTAAGAAAATAGTCTACTCTTGCCCTTATTGAAGTCCATAGGAGTTTTATAGTCTCCATCCATCTGTTCATCTTATATGCTTATCCTTCTGTTGTGGGATCACATCAGCGCAATTTTAATGTATCTTAACACTAGGGATATTAGCATGTAATTGAATAGTTGTGTAACATCATCAAATTTAGCTGTTTCACGACTATTCAATAGTTCCCAGAGGTGGGGCCAGCAGCCAATGTGCTCCCGGCCCCACTCCCTGGGAGCCTTCTTAATCTCGGTGCTGCTGCTGCCTCTCTATCATAGGTAGCAGCATGGGGTGGCAAGTGGGAGCCTGTTTGCAAGGGGAGACAATTTAAAAACTAGCTCCCTGAGCAGACCAGCTCCCACCTGCCACCCTGTGCTGCTGCCTTTGACACACAGGGCCAAAGGGCCACAAAGGGCCAAAGCTCCCTGCGGATAGAGGCTACTTTGTGGCCTCAGTTTAATCATTATATGAGACTGCTGGAGGAGATAGTGAAAAGACTTGGGTTTCAGTATATTTCACTGATTTTATACCATTTGAATTTTACTACTTTCAATCCCTCTCCATCTACTATTTCCTGCTCACCAAACATATGCATCCTTTTACCTTCATTTCCTTCATACTCTCTTCTCTTTGTCCTTTCCTCAGGATCAAGCTATATCTTCCCTCTAGGGATGTTAAATTTAGATTAATTGGCATTTCAAAGAGGCAGATTTGAACCACCCCTTCCTCTCTCCCACTCTTGCTACCTCTTTCTGATAGAGGCAGCAAGGAGGGTGGGGGGAAAGCAACTAGTTGAGTTTCTACTCAACTACCCTGTAAGTAGTTGCTTATCGGCTAGTCAACTAATCGTTCACATCCCTGCTTCCCTCTCCTCCTTACACCTTCACTCCCACTTTTTGCCTCTTTAAATGTACTCCCAGCTGTTATCTTCTGTGATCTCCATTAGGGATTTGAGCGACTAATCAACTCTCTGATGAGCAAATGCATATTGGGTAGTCAAGTAGGAACCTGAGTAGTCACTTCCCTCCCCCTTGCTGCCTCTATCAGAGAGGGGGAGCATGAGCTGGTGCTGGGAAGAGCTGGCTTAAAAGTCAGTTTCCTTCCCCCTGCAGCACCATCTCTGTGGTGGGCAGGAGTGTCAGGGGGCTGCAGGGAAACGGCATGAGTGGGGATTGAAACAGTCCCACTGCTGATTCTCTCCCTTTGGAATGTACAAAAGCTGCCTGTGGCTCTTGTACATTTCAAAAGAAGAGGCACAGAGGGGAACACATGCAGCGGGGACTGCTTTGCTCCCTGCTGGGGCGGGTTCCTGCTGCCTCGCCCCATTCAAAATGTACAAGAGCCATGGGCAGAGAGAGAGGCGTAGTGCGATAGCGAGTGCCCCCCTTACTGACTTGATTAACTGATTAATTGAAATTTAACATCCCTAATCTCCACCTCCAGTTAGTTGTTATAATCTGCTATTTATAAACTACATAAAAAAGGAATATTTATATAACAATTAATATGCCTGTTTGCTCAACCTGTGAAACCACAACTTGATTGTTGTTGACCTTCCCTTTTGGGGATGTGGGTTTATCTGAATATGGTCACATTTTAAATGTAAATTGTAAACTTTATGGCACTGGGTTTGTTTCTTTGTTCTATAAAACACTTAGAACATTTTGAATGGCACCCAAGAGTAAATAAGAGACCTGGTTGAAAAATGGGACTTTTTCAGCCAAATAACTGTTTAAATTTTGAACTTTTTAAAAATATTATTCTGACTCACATAATGCACTATCTTTACTTCTCATTTACCTTGCTGAAATTGGTTCAGGGCAAAGAAGTTGATGCTTAATCTGGAGAAGAGACATGTAGTGCTAGAGAGTTAAGGGGAAAAGATCTTAAACATCGGCAGAAGGATTTGATGCAGCTCCTATTAACGTCAGTGGGGCCAAGAGCAGATCCATGGGTGGAGACACATTCCCTGCCCTGAAAAGTTTGCACTTTATAGACAGATACCATACAAGTCATGGCATAGCATTTTGGCAAAGGGAGTGCTTTGAGAGACTCACAGCAGTGAGAACAAAGTAAAGTGAATTTACAAGTGTGTGAACTATTTTAGAAATTTGGAAAGAAAAGGGTTTTGAGACCAAGTGTTTCTTGATTTGCCTCTTATACTTCCTCCCCTGCAATTAATGCTAAGTGCAGCCTAACTAATATGCTACTTGCATGTGCATCTGTGGAACAAAACAGGAGGGTAGATTGGAGTATGGTGGCCTTGATTGTTCAGTCATCATGCCTTTCTATATTTGCTATTTTGTTTAGGATTTAGTGTATTATACCTATTGGAAATAACCATGACATCCTAAAACTGAAAGAGATCAATTTTACTTTTGTACATGCTAAGCTTAGTGAACAGGTGCATGTAACAGGGAGTTTTGTGAGGGAGTTTAGAGGGAGAGTTTGAAGGGGGCAAGATACACTTAGAATTCTTTAAAACTTCTTTTAAAATTAACTAAACCCAAACAACCTGATTTAAATTAAAACCCCATTCAAGAAACTAATTACCTATAGGAGGAAAAAACAGGCAGAAGCCCAGCACTAGAGAGAGGATTGTCCTGTTTTATTGCACCCAATGTAGCTTATACAATTACCTTTCCCTGTTGACAGGTGGTGTATATGTTCATTTGGTGCAAGGAGCTCCTAGCCCTCAGAGACCTCATATGGACTTTGAAATACCTAAGGGAGGCAAAGTAGTACAAAGATGATGCTTCCCGGGACACTATAGAACTGCCCACATCCAGTCAGACAGCTTTTGTTCTGTTGAGGAGGGTGAAAGGCTCAGGAAAGGAGAACATTCAGCTGGAGCAGAGGGAAATGATCCTATTGTTGGGACCCTCCTTCCAGGTGATGTTTTGGTATCCTCTTGGTCTGAGGATGCCTCTCTCGGGGAGGGAACTCTAGTAATTAGGAAAAAACAAGCGTTAGT